GATTTTTTTTTCCTTCTTAAAACAGCTTCTTAGTACGAAAACTAAATTTTTATATTAGAAAGCTGCTTTAATGAGCAATAAGAAAGCTGTCCCAAACGAAGCCTAGGACGGCTTTATTATTGCTTCTTAAAATAGCTTCCTAGCAAAAATTAAAATTTTTATTGTACTAAAAAGCTACTTTAAGAAAGCAGAAAGAAAGCCGTCCCAAACGAGCCTAAATCTCTTTTATGGAATGTGAGTGGGACTACTTGTACCTTTTCAAGTAATAAAATCAATTATCATATTGGAATTCATAAACCTCATTTACTTATTATTTTGGAACCTTTTGTGTTTTGGACTATAATGAAAGTGAGGGTGGGAAAATTTCTAACTTAAGCTTCATTTGGGATCACTTTTTTACTATTTTCTAAAGTAAATTTTTAGTATAAAAATTTTTATTTCAAAAAATATTTGTATTAAAAATTTTGTTAGAAAGTGATAAGAAAGTTGTTTCAAACGAAGCCTTATATGACTTGGAAGAATTTTTTGCAATGGTTGAATGTGGCTTCATTGATACTGGTTTTGTGGGTAATCCTTTTGGCTGGGTTTTCTATTCTGTGGATTAGCTTAATTCTGTTGAGGATTAGCTCTATTCTGTGGATTAGCTATGAAAACAAATTTGTTGAGGATTCCATAATGGGAAAATGATTACTCAAGACAAAAAGTTGGTGTTAGGGCATCTCCAATCGAAAAATTAATTTTCCAACTCAAAATACAGTAACATTCATATAAAACAGTAATTCATCTCCAACTGAACTCGATTTCTAACATAAAAAAGAGTATTTTGTGTATTGTCTTTCTAATACCCTAAACCTAACCCAAAATTGCATTTCTGTGAACAGTGCGACGTCAATATTGACGTTAAACTGTTATACAACCATCCCACTGTTCACAAGGGAGAAGAAAACGTAAAATGCGTTTACATTTGGTGTTCGAGTGCAGCCTCGCGGCAGCTAGAAACAGGTCCTTAGAAGTATTAAAGATTGTGATATAAAAGCTAGATTATTTCATTCATTAATGAAGGCCAAGTGTAGTAAATATTGAATATGCAAAATTAAAGAATGCTAAAGAAATTGGATTATTGTTCTAATTGAACTTTAGAGCTTTTCATGTAATAATTTTAAAAACCTGTTTTATAGTAATACTCCAGGAAATATATTGGAGAATCTATTTTCTATAGGCATTTCAAAAAAGGAGAATGTGATGTTAACTACCATAACTAATACTGAGGAAGTCAAGAAAATTACCTTCTCTATTGATACTAATTCTACTATAGGTCTAGATGAATTTTCAACTACCTTCTTCCATTCTTAATAGAACATTAGTCCAATAAGATTTGAATTTGAAGGTGTATGTGAATAATATGATAGGGAACCTTAATCTTTCTAATGCACATGATAAATAAAATAGTTCTATTTATCGTCTCATCTGGAATGTCAGAATACATTATAATAGTTTTGTTTGTTGTTTCATTACCAGAGCCAAGAAGAGCTGTAAGATCAAAATTAAAAATGCAAATAACATGACCCTTAGATCTTAGAAGACATAAATATCTGCCACGAGCTGTCTCTGTTTAGGAGGCGATAGAGGAGCGAGAGAGAAAACGAAGAAGTTATTGTGACGTTAAAGTTTTAGTCTATGAAGATTATCAACAAATTTATTTTAAAAGATATCTAGGCACACCAAATTTATTTTTGCTACTTTATGTTTTGAATAGATCTAATGATTTAGACTTCTTTTGGGATGACTTTCTTACTATTTTTAAGCAGTTTTTTAGCTGAAAATTATCTTCAACTAAAAAGTTTATACTAAAAAATAGTCTTAGCAAGCAGTAAAGAAGTCGCCCCAAATGGAATCTTAAACTACATTATTAATTTGTGCTTGATTAGATTGATTAAAGAAAAAATAATTGTAATTTATTTTCCTCCCTATCTCTCTTTCTTGGAAAATTTAAATAATTGAAGCCAATAAATTACAGTCCTTTTTTACTTGTAGTGCATCCAAGCAGAACCAGATAGGTAAGTAGGAAAGGATAAATTAAAGACTAGGCAATTGAGCTTATTCTCTGTTACACTACCCATATCATGAGTTAATGATTTTTTTCCTCATATGAAATGGGGTGAGAAATCTCAGCTATTAAGTCTTAAGCGATAATTATGGGTGTGGTTAATGATAGAACCAACAAAGAACAAAGAAAAATTGGAGAAGAAAAAATAGAACAGAGAAAAAACAAACTTCTGTTCTCTAAATATCTCACGGGATTCAGAACAAAACAGAGAGCACTTCTTCTGTCTTTTCAAAAGCAAAAGAAAAAAAAAACTGAGAGAGCAAGCACGCTATTAAGCCTTTCACAGGATTACATCCATACAGCAAAAACTAAGCAGTTTAAATAACTGTCTAATAAAAATAATAATAATAATTAAAATTGAAACGTCGCATGGTTTGAAAATCCAACAATCTCCCATATTTAAAAAAAAAAATTGAATAATAACATAATTGTCAATACAATCTAAAATTTAATTTTCAATATACGAGATTAAAATACCGTTCATCCACTGATCTATAATTCTATTGCGTAATCAATTTTTTATAATGGTCATTATAGAAAATGCTCTTTCAACTTATGCAGTTGCTATGCATAGTACTAATGCCAACTTCAACAGCCTAAAAATAAGGGGAAATAGTATTTTATTCCTACTTTGAATCTTTTTTTTAGCAAGACTTCCTATATCTTTTAGTAATGAAATTCGAACATCAAACTGCATTTCCATAATACAAGTTTCCAACTGATTAACAAGAATCATCAAATCAGAATGAGTGAAATCATGATTGTGAAGTCATGATTGAGAGGCTAACATGTCCCTTTTTCCAAATATGATCTTCAAAAATTTGATCACGAATGCTAAAATTAAATTCAGAAATAGGTATACGTATTTTAGGATTTGATTGAAGATTAACTAGTTCTATTACCGTGCTTCTTGATGATTCACCATTTTTTTGAATTCTTTTTTTTTTTATTTTTCACATCATCCCTATTTTCTGAATCTTCTATTGGTGATGATATACAAAATTGTGATGCATTTTTAAATATTTCTTTATAATCTTTGTGCAAATTAAAGCGCATTAACAACATAAAACATAAAAAAAAAATATAAACTAAATTTATTCTAAACAGAAAACTAAAGAATAAAACAAATTCTTTTTCTTTATTGGTTTATCTTAAAGAAAAAGAAAACAAATATAAATAGAAAACTGAATGAGATTTTTTATCTGTTTAGTATTGAATCTAATTTATTTACTAAACTATAAATTAATTAAACAAATTTTTTAATCTATAAACTAAATTCTAAACGAAATGTTCTGTTTAGACTAAAAAAAAAAAGCTAAAAAAAAATTATAGAAAACAAGAAAACTAAAACAAATTCTTACCTGTGCTGCTGGCCGTATGAGGGAAGAAGGGAGAGCTGCAGAGGCAGCGAGAACTTTTTTTTTTTTTTTTTTTTTTTGGGGACATTTAGGCCATTTAAGGCAAACTCACACACACAAAGCATACACATATACTTGAACCCTGAACCTCTTAGTTGGAAGCCAAAGCTCTCAACCAATAGGCCAAGGAGAGTTGTGTGGCAGCGAGAACTTCAAGCCGGATCCAAAATCCAAGTGAGGTCAGAGGCAGAGAAGCAGAGGCAACGTCGAGATTAGTCATACAAGTGCTTCTTGTGCGCGACAACTTACTGTCTTTAATCGGGGAAGCACTAAAGCCATATATAGGTATTAGGGCATCTCCAACGGAAAATCTCATTTTGCACTCCAAAATGTTGTGAAACTAAAAAAATACCGTGATTCATCTCAAATCGAACTCTATTTTACCCCGTAACGGTTGTTCGCTTCTTTCGCGCGTTTCTTCAGCAAGTTCGGTAGACACAAAAAATGGTGAAGATGAACAGTGCAACACCAATATTGGCGTCGCACTATTCATCCGCGATGAAAATCGTGTAAGAAATGCCGCTCGGTTGGAACGATGGAAGAACGACAAACAACCGTTCGCTTGGAGATGTTCTTAGGGTTTTCGCACCGCCAAAAACCACCAATCCAGCCTCAATGCTTTCATCTAAGTTGGTGTTCAATTCATTCATTAAATAAATAAAAAAAACACGAACAATTTTTTTGAGCGTGAAACTTATATTAGTCCAACAAAAAAACTCTATTCAATTGTATTCATCTCCTATAAACTCAAAATTATTTTTTAATAATAAATAAATATATTCAAATTATGATTTTTTAAATTTTCAGCTTTACTGATTATTATATTTATAAAATTCTTGGGATAAAATTTCAATTTTTCATATATCTCTTTTAATTTTTTATAAATCGTTCAAGAAAATTTTAATTTTTATATTATTTTAATAAAAAACAAGCTAAATTTTACCAGCATAGGAACAAACAAATTTAAAAAAAAAAAATACAACTTAGAACGATGGATGCTTAGCCCTAGGAGTGCAAACAATTCAAGCCGACTCGCAAGCCAGTTCGAACTCGACTCGGTAACAAGTTCGAAGAGTCGACCTTATCGAGCTCGTGAGTCGAGCTCGAACACGATTTCGAGCTCGACGGCTTATCGAGCTTAAACAGGCCGCTGCTCCACTCGGCAACTCGTCGAGCAGCTCGATGGCGAAGCTTGTCGGCGGCAAATCCAAAACACGAGAGCGGGAAATCCAAAATGCGAGTGGTAAAAAAAAAAATTCAAGCTCAACATTTGATAGTTGAGCTTGACTCTAATACCTCGTGGCTCGAGCTCGACTCGACTCGTTCGCACCCCTACTCAGCCCTTGGCCTTACATTTAACAAAAAAAAGAAAGAAACTTAGAAAAGGCTGACCTCATACTAACGCCAGTTGGGACTCTTAGATGGCAATAAATGATTGGAGTGGTGACTTTGCGAAGCAAGTCATGAACTCCTATTTTACTAAGTCTTCCAAATGACTTGACTCGGAACAACCCTCAAGACTTTTTCTACTTTCTCCCATTATAGCTTCGTTTTTGGTGTCCTCTGTCAAATGGAAGCTCTAAACTTCTTCATGGAGAGGTTTCATTTCAACTTCGTTGTCTTCCTCCTCGTGCTTTCCTTTTTAGAGCTTTTATTGATCAACTGTGTTGCTGCTGACCGATGCCTTGAAGCAGAGAACTTAGCACTTCTCCAGCTAAAGAAAGGTTTTACCACTCGAAAGCCAGAGTCATGGCTGTCGGGAATGGACTGCTGCAGCTGGGAGGGCGTGACTTGCGATGAACCTGGAAGGATCACTGGACTCAACCTAGGGCTTCGATTCATCACTGGTACAATTGATCCTAGCCTCTTCAATCTCACATCTTTAGTCACTCTCAATCTTGCCCACAATAACTTCGATGGAATTCCCATTCCGGACTTTGGGTGGGACAGGCTTGTAAATCTTTCAAGCCTTGATCTTTCTGATGCTGGATTTGCTGGGAAGGTTCCTGTTAGCATCTCTCGTTTGACAAAATTGACTTTCCTCGACCTCTCCAGCAATTCTCTAGCCATTAATCTGATGATTTTGCAAAACATGAGCAATCTGAAGGAGCTTATTCTTGACAATGTAAATGTCTCATCATATAAGAATGAATGGTGTGATGTTCTGGTCAATTCCACCCCTGTACTTGAGTTGTTGAGAATGTATAGTTGCTCCCTCTTCGGTGCCATTTGTTCCTCTCTGCCCATGCTCCCATTTTTATCCATTATCGATTTTACAGATAATAATTTGGACTCTAACATCCCAAATTCATTTGCCAATTTTTCATCCTTATCTGAGCTTCACCTTCGAAGTAACAAATTTAATGGATTTTTTCCCAATCAAATCCTTCAATTGAGAAATTTGAAATATCTTGACATCTCTTATAATCCAACACTTTCTGGTTATCTTCCTGATTTTCCAGAGTACAGTAATTTAAGAACTTTGTGGGTTTCTAATACCAATTTCTCAGGGAATGTACCTGACTCGATTAGCAACCTCAAGTTTTTGACAAATTTAGATCTCTCAAGTTGTGAATTCTATGGTACAATCCCATCTTCTATTGGGAATCTATTAGAGCTCGTGCATTTGGATCTATCATATAACAATTTCAACGGTGTTGTGGGGTTGGAGTTCATCAAGGGTCTCAAGAATCTCTCCGCATTGGACTTCTCAAACAGTGGATTTTCTTTAACTCTGCTTAATGCAGATAATGGATCTTTTTCATCTTCATTTCCCAAGATGTCAACTTTGATACTAGTTGGTTGCAATCTAACTAAGATTCCTACATTCATAAAATATCAAGATCAGATGACCAACCTGGACCTCTCAAACAACATAATTCATGGTAAAATACCGAGTTGGTTATGGAGAATAGGTGATCTAAAACAGTTCACATCTTTAATCCCCTCCAACACCACCTCACAATCTCATTTATCTTTCCTTTCTCTTGCAAACAATAACCTGATTGGAGAAATACCACCATTCATCTGCAACTTAACTAGACTCACGATGCTTAATTTATCTAATAACAAGCTAACTGGTACTATTCCACAATGTTTGCTAGAAGATGGAATTGATCTCCTTGTGTTAAATCTAAGAGGAAATCAACTTTATGGAGCCATACCTCATGGAATTAGTACAAAATGTGAGCTACAAACCATAAATCTTAGAGACAACCAATTAGAGGGATTGCTTCCCAGGTCTCTATCTAATTGTCGATCACTTGAAATTTTGGACTTGGGAAATAATAACTTGAAGGATACATTTCCTTATTGGTTAGGAAATATGTCTTTGCTAAGAATTCTTGTTCTAAGATCTAATAAGTTCTATGGGTTAGTTGGACCTCTTGATGGAAGCCATGAGACAAATTATGCTTTCCCTATGATGCATGTCTTTGACATCTCATCCAACAACTTTAGTGGAAGTTTAACTGCAAAGTGTTTCAGTAGTTTTAAGTCAATGATGATAAATAAAGTAGAAGGAATCCTTGATCTTTTATTTCATTTAGGCCCATACTTTAATCTAGATGTGCTCACCATCATTAACAAGGGACAAGTAATGACACTGCAAAAATATGCCATATTCGCAAAGTCAATAGATTTTTCCAACAATCATTTTGAAGGAGAGATCCCTTCAATTATTGGGCAACTTGTCTCTCTCCAAGTACTAAACATGTCACAAAACTATTTGACGGGTGAAATTCCTCCAGAATTAGGAAATTTGGTACAGCTCGAGTCATTAGATCTTTCAAGGAATTACCTTTCTGGTAAAATTCCTCAGGAATTTGTTTCATTACATTTCTTATCATATTTAAACCTCTCCGACAACAAGCTGGTTGGAACAGTTCCACAAGGAGGTCAATTATGCTCTTTCACAAACACTTCATTTGAAGGAAATAAAGGGCTATATTGGTTTTTTTGCAACACATCAGTTCTAGCAGCAAACAATACAACCAAATCACCTCCAAGTTTGGGTAACACATCTTCAAATAATAGAAGTTACATGATTGTATTAGGAATATTATTTGGTGTGGGATTTGGGGTGTCAATAGCAGTCGTTCTGATACTTGATGTCATGTTCTGTAACAAAGCTAGGAGGAGAAGCAGGAGACCTTCTCATGGATAACATGAAACTATGATTCCTTCCAGGTAAGTGGTTTTTTTTTTTTTTTTGGTTCTTTTTGGTTCATATGTTAGATTTAATTTATCTTGTAATTCAAAGTTCTGCATTGACAGGCGTATGGTATTGGCCTTTATAGTTGGCTCAATGAGCTTTTGCATGAGTATTTTATACTTCTCCTTATATCTACTTTTTCTCATTTGTTCTTTGTACTGGGATATAAAGAGGTCAGTAGTGTCTTTCAGCTATTCTTCTCTTTAATGCACAACTAGATCTAAATTGGTGGTAAAATGGACTTTTTTTTATGAATTTGAATTCCAATGACATTTTGAATATAATGTAAATTAATGTGTATTTAAGAAATGAGTAAATTATTTTGTTGGATTCAAATTAAATGTAATGAAATTTTTTATTTTTATAATGCATTTTAAATATATGCTTTTAAAAAATTCGACGAGTGATGGAGGTGATAAGATGGCAGGTGACAGGTAATGACAGTTGGTGACAGTTGTACTTGATGATTAGATTGGCAACAAGTGATACCAATCTGCGGTATTTGCAACAGACACTAACCACAAGATGCGATTGCTGACAGTGTAGTTGTGGCTGCCAGTAGGGAAGGCGATTCAATACAACACTTAAATAATTAATTATTGGGTGAATTTCAAATACATTAACAAATTACTTATTAATTACTTTAATTTTATTTACATTTTACTCACAATACTTCAGCACAAATGGCATCCAGAAAAACTGTATGGCCCCTCCAAAGTCCATTTTTCCCTATTTTTTTAAAAAACTATCCTTTTTCAATTAGAATTTAAAGTTAAACTCTGTGTAGATTACCATAATTTAAGAAGCTTTTTTACTAATAATTATTTGATAGTTTTTTATCATATATATATAATTTTAAATTATAAGAATTATTTATCTTAAAATTCTATATTTTAGAATTATGAAATTTTTATACAATATTGTCTTTGAAATTTAGAGGTATTTCAATTATTTTATTAAGAATTGGAAGCTATATTAATAATAAAGATAAAGAGCAACTACAATTTAGATTCCTCCTTCAAAATATTAAAAAATAAATGAGGAACCTTATTCTCAGAGCAATTATCCCAAGTAAAGCTACTTACTAAAGCATAGTTAGCACATAAGGTTGCTAACTTATTGCATTCTCTACTAATGCAATTAAAAATAACAAAATTAAAGTTTGCAAGAAATTCAATACCATCGTCCTTGAATTTCCTATTATTCCAAGCCTTTTTGAAGTAAGAAATGATGTTTGAGTTATCACCTTCAATGAAAATGCCATCGAATTTGAGCATCCAATCCTTGATCTCCTCTTTGATTGAATTAATGGCAAGTAACTCCAATTGAGCTATATCCCAATGTATGAATGATTTACCATAAGCATATAGGAATCTACCTTTAATGTCCCTAAAAACAGCCTCTATACCCGCCTTGTAGGATGACAGAAGAGATGCATCAACATTAACTTTTAGCCAATTGGGTGGAGGAGGATGCCAAGCATTAGACAGTCTTAATGACTGATTAACATCCCAAAAGCCCAAATTAAACTGGCTAAAACTATTAGAGACCGAAGCTTGAGAAATGGCTTCTAAGGCTATAAAGCTGGAGTTATCTTTGACACCACCATATATCATCTTTTTTCTACTTTTCCACGATAGAAACATAATAATACAAATAAAGCTTAACCATCATACCTTTCCTGGAAGCATTGGATTTCAGCCAACTAATACATTGTTCACTGGAATTAAACAATGGAAAACTGAAACCCCACTGATTTAGATGATGAATAATCTCTCTGAGCTTACAACAATCACACACAATATGATCCACAACTTCAATAGTCTCACAACCTCTTGGACAGTTAGCGTTTTGAACAAGCATTCTATTACATAAAAAATGCATAGACGGGATAGCATTCCTCTTTAATCTCCACCAAAAAGTCTCGACCCGAGCATTCAACTTTGCCTTCTTGATCCACTTCCATAATCGATCATATTAAGTTCCAATAGCCTCCAATTTCCTGATTAACCCAAGAATAGTCATTCCAAATTTTTGGTTGATCAGCACCAAGAAATCAGCCTTCTTTTCTTGGGATATCTGAATCTGCATGATAATATCAATAAGCTCCTTGCCAAAATATTTGCTCAGATTTTGTTCATTCCATTTGCATCAAGAATAAACTCTTCAACGAGAACTTGGCTGTGATCTATTGGAATAACAAATGTAAGCCACTTGTTAATACATTTATCTAGGATCCAATTATCTTTGATAGCATCCACAGATCTTCCATTAACAATTTCCCATTTAACAATAGGATTAAGCATTTTAAATCCTTCACTCAGTATTTTAAATGCAGCAGAATTACTTCCACTGCTATTGCCTTTCAGCAACCTATTACCATATTTCGCTGCCATTACTGAGTATAAAAGGGATTGATCATCTTGAATGAATCTCCACGCTAATCTATCACGCAGAGCAGGAGTTTTAGATATGTTAGAATGCAACCCACGACCTCCATACTCAATCAGTTTACACATATCGGTCCAGTTCACATAATGCAATCCCTTGGATCCATTTTTCTTATTCCAGATGAATTCTCTGCATATTTTATCCAGATCAGCCAACACCTTTTTAGGTACTAACGAATGAGTCGTGTGAAAGATAGGAAGTGCTAGCAACACTGATTTTACAAGAATAATCTTTCCCAGAAGTGATAAGCATTTGCTAACCCATTGATTGAGCTTATTCAAAGCTTTATCAATGATGAATTGAAAGTCCTCCCTCTTGAGTCTCTTCAAATCCATCTTTAACCCAAGGTAATAGAATTCTTTGACATACTTAAAGCCCATAATTTTAGATAAACATCTCTTTCTTCTTCTCTCCACATGTTTTCCAAACATAATTAGAGATTTGTTGTAATTGATTTTTTGCCCCGTCCATTCACAAAAATTATGAAGACTTTTCTTCACTCCCAAGACCTCCTTCCTGTTAGCTTTGGAAAACATTATGACATCATCCGCATACAATAAATGGGAGATACGAGGTCTCTCTGGACAAATCTTTATACCACAAGAGCATTAGAAAGAGGTTGTGAGCAATGAATGAAAAGAATGGGAGATAAGGGGCAGCCTTGTCGAAAACCGCTTCTAGCATGGATCCAATTTGAACAATTATCATTAATGATAATAGAGAACATAGGATCTTCAACACACTCCATGATAAGCTCAAAAAATTTATGCAAAAATTTAAAATACTCCAATACTCTTTTAAGAGAAGGCCAAGCCATTGAATCATAGGCTTGCTCCATATCAACTTTAAATGAAACAAGGCCCTTAGTAGCTTTGGAAATTCTAATTTTGTGGAAGATTTCTTGTGCAACCAATATGTGATCTGATAATGATCTCCCTTTAATGAAAGCCTCTTGCTCCATAGAAATAAGTTTAGGAACAACCAAATTAAGTCTATTCAAAACTATCCTTGCCGCCACCTTATCCACTGTGTTGCATAGACTATTAGGTCTATAATTTATTGGAAGAATGGGATTTGAGACCTTAGGAATTATAATTATAAGAGTTTCTTTCCAATCTTTGTTCATCTCACCATGTTTAAAAAAATGACTTAAGGCCATCCAAAAGTCATCCTTGATGATATCCCAATAGACCTTAATGAAAGAATGAGAAATTCCGTCGTTACCTGGTGAAGTATTCCCTCCCAAATGTTTTAAAACATCTTCAATTTCAGCCATAGTTAAATCCGCATCCAGCAGAATTCTATCCTGATCATTCAAGCAACTGGTAGGAGCCGGCCAACCATCCAGTTTACACCTTATGGATTCCCATTTATTTTGAAAGAACCACATAAAAACTTCCTCCATTTATTCTTGATCTTCCACCATATTTCCATTTTCATCTTTCACCTTTATTATTTTGTTGGAATTTCTTCTAGCACTAGCATAATTATGAAAAAACTTCGAATTACCATCACCTTCATTGAGCCATTTAACTTTGGCCCTTTTCTTCCACCATGTATTCAATCTTGCCAAGGTAGCATTGAGTTCCAAAACCTTCTCTTTAAGGATCCAATAGTCTTGATCAGAGAGATACCCTAAGGAAGACTCTTTAATTTGAAGTTCCATAAACTCCTCCATGAGATCCTCTTTCAACTTGTTCAATTCTTTATGCTTAGACTTGCTCCAATAGAATAATGACTTCAAGGCTCTTTTGAATTTTTTGTTGAGAACTTGAGAATAACTTCCTTGATACTTCTTGGACCATTCCTTCCTTACCACCCCAAAGGAAGCTTGGTAAGAAGCCCAACAGTTCTCAAATTTGATAATTTTGCTGGAATTAGTGTTGAAATTCCGAAATTGGAGAAGGATTGGGCAATGATCTGAGGCAATTCTAGCCAAATGTCTTTCAACCAATTGAAAAGGAGAACTTAAAGCAACCGTATTAACAAAACACCTATCCAATCTTTCAAGGATTCTAGCACCACCAACCTTGTTGTTGCACCAAGTAAATCTAGGACCGATAAAGCCAACTTCAAGAAGATCGTTGTTGAGCAATCATTCTTCCATCTCCCTTGATCCTTGATGATAAACAAATCTTCTACCACCCAATTTGTCTTCTTTTCACATTAGACAATTAAAATCTCCACCAACTGCCATAAGATGATCATAATTGGAATATTTATCTATCATATTCCATAAGTCTCTTCTCTTGCTCACTTCAGTGCTCCCGTAAACCGTGATCACTTTCCAGCTTAAATTATTGAACATTTTGAGCTCACCAAGCACCATTTGTGTAGAACTATCCTCCATTGAGAATATCACTGAATTCGTATTCCACAGAATCAGTATACCACCCGAGAGCCCAGAAGACGAGACACAGTAGAAGTCCCAACTGCTACCAATCAAGGCATCAACTTCGTTTATGTCAATTCCAGTTATTTTGGTTTCAACCAAACCCATAAAACACACACCATTATTTTTTACAAACTCCTTTAGGTAGAGGGAAGTACTTCTCTTCCTTGCTCCCCTACAATTCCAAAAACATATGGAATACATTAAAAAGGATTTTGGGGATTACTCCCCAAATTACCTTTTCCTTCCATCTCCATTCTATGGCTTCTTGTAGATGCATTAATTGGTCCCAGATCTCTTAGCTATTTTGGTCTCTTCTTTTTAGTGGATTGAGTAGATCCCTCAATCCCATTAATCCCTGTACAGGCCGAATCATTGCAACCTGAATCAGCTT